GCGATAAGTGCGACATTCTTGAAATGCACATGCAGCTAAATGAACTGAGTAGTACTGCGTGAGAAGCACACAAAATTAGGGGCAATGCTTGAAGTCACTAGGTTCTACATGGATCGGGAATATCCTCTTAAAATTTCAGCCTTCTAGCTTCGCTGGTTTCCAAACTCGCAGCTTACCCGCCAAAAATTTTCATGCAAAACCATTACTCGAAAGAAACGAAAATCGCCGGTTCTGAGAGGTATACTGCAGCAAATCGTTCCTTTTTCGAAGCTTACTCTTCGAACACATACAGATCGAGCTTCCTAACAACTAAAAAACCCTGGGGTGAAGCACGATTTTCTCTTCCCCTCCGCAGAACTACAAAACATAAAAGTGCGCAATGGCTTAGTCCTGAGGCAAAATAGGGTACTCGAGAAAGCGAGTAAAAGCGAGCCTGGCAGGAATTTTGAAGGGATGTTTCCTGACAGCCTAGGCTGTCAGTTTGAAATTCTTTTAGCTAGAAGCATCTGCCGGAAGAACCAGTGCCGTTAGCGACAAAAATCTGCGGGGAACTATGCAAAAAACGTATCTTCGGGCGGGTAGCCCGTGCAGTTATGCAAAAAGAGATCTGGCAGCCGAGACAAGTCAATGCTGTTTCTCGCAAAATGCATCCAAAACACCGAGTTATCCTGCTTGCTAACGTTTTATCAGTAAACCAGCGGTATCAGGAGCCCCGGTAGCTTAAAGCAAGCCAGCATGCTGGCCATCGGACGGCGCAAAATTGGCTGAAGCAAGTGGAAAAAGTGCAAGCTACAAATGATGGAGTAGTACCTAGCTCTTGAACAGCTCTTGCACAGATCACTTCAGAGAACGTCGAGAAATTCGAGTTGTCTACAGCTGAAAAACAAAAAAGAGGAAAATATGCGAAATGCCTGAAGTGTCGTTTTTCGAAAAATAAAAAATACGCTGGCGGAACGACAGAACGGACATCGTCTCGTAAACAGTAAAAACCGAACAAAACGTTCACGAAATATTAGAAAACAGGCACAGGAATTACAGGTCACGCGTAAAGAAGCACATTCTTAATCCCCAAAATCGTATTTACCAAAAACGACGTGGGGGCGTGTAAACACGAATGACGTGAAAACGGTCTATCCTGGTGTGATACACACAAGCACACACACATACATACACACACACACACAAGCACACACACACATCCAGCATTACTCGCTGACAAGACGCCCAAGTGGCACGAGTATATCACAGGACGCCGGGGGGCGCTTACGTGATGCTGTCCAGTGCAAGCGAAGCCGGCTGCTAATTGAGGACGTGGAACTTCAAAATAAATGGAAGATGTAGCTGTCGCCGCCGCCGCCGCCGCTCTGCAGCGCTGCAAGAAACAATGATGGGATGCGTGGGCACGCCGCACTTTTATACTTTCTACAGATGAGCAGAAGATGGCGCGCAGCGTACACGGTTTCACGGACGAGAAGTAGTAACACAGTAGTAGCACAACGATCAGGTACTGCGGGGGAAGAACAGGCGGGGTGGAGAGTGATTTGGGCCTTGAGAGTAGGGAGAGAGGGGAAAGGGACGGGGTTACTGCCCACAGAAGGAGCACAGACCGCTGCTTGGAGGTAGGAATTGGAAACAAAGGCGAAGTTCGGGAGGAAGGAGTGCCTATACACGTTCTTTTTACGCTCAATTTGAAAATTGAGGCGAACTTAGCAGTCTTGAAAGCAACATCTAGGGCCTCACTTCTCCCCCACCAAAAAAAAAAA